TAAGGCTTTTTCTGAAGCTGCATGTATTTCATCCTCTCACTGACTTCAACTCCTCCCTAACAAGCCAAAAAAGTAGTTAAATTAGGACGAATGAGATTTAATGACGACATAACACTCTACAAACAACAGCAACAGCCACTAATAGCCCATCCAGAATAAGATATTAGGAATGGAAACTGAATAAAGATAAGTAATTTCTTCAGCATGTAAAGAATAGCAATAATATTCTTGCAATATTTCTAAATAACACGCATGATTTTACATCATAATATTTCAAGAAGCACTTCTGTGAAAAAAATGACCAAAACGATGCTGCTTTCCTTCTACAAACTGCTGAATCTTGAGAAGCTCGTCTATGGTTATCCACGATTAAGACCTATAATATCTGATTCATCGATTCAATTCCAATGACAAAAGACAGATATAATCAGACCCGAAATGCAAAAAAAAACACAAACACATACACACCGAAAAATAGCCATATCTATTCACTGTCAATAATTACTTGGCCTATACTTCAAATCATTAAATCTTACAATAAATATGTTTATGCGAAATCGAAATCCTTCACCCATGTTTTCCCCAAAAATATTACTTCTTTATAATTTAATTCCACTGGTGCTAGAAATATTTACAAACAGCACAAGCTTACGTATTAATAACAGATCTCGTCGTATCATGTGGAGATTCAAACATGACATCAAAGTAGAACTCTTGAAATGATAGAAAATGGATTCAAAGATTAAATAATGACGCAATGGCTTATACATTCTTCTAAGATAAAATAATAAACCAAAATAACATAAATTCCGTCAGCCGAGATAAGAAAAGTACAAACACCCAAAAATAAAATATGTACAAGATAATAACTAATAATACAACCCTAAAATCCAGAGCTGAATAACTTTTACATTCAAATAAATACAAGGACGAATTCATCTGAAACTGCCAAAAAATATCAGGAAAAACAAATACATTGGAAAGTTACAACTGCTTTGAGATTTTAATTATTCGCCCAGTTTGGCATTTTAAATGTTGCAAAATAAGAAAAAAATTAAATCAAAACTGTCATTTTATAAAATTTTAATAATGTTCATCTCCGATTACGATTAAAATCATCGCGCGATGGTTCATAACGTCGAGAACGACGATCATCATCATAATCTCTATAACGAGTCATACGATTACGATTATCACTAGAATAACGCCTACCACCGTTATTATGAAGCTGCTGTTGCAATCCTCTATTACCACTGCGTTCACGATCTCTGTCGCGTCCATGAGGGTCTCGCAAACCTCCGCGACCAATGTCTTCATCTCCACGAAATCCTCCAAATGGTCGGCGGTCTCCAGAGCCATCCATTACGACACCGTAATTTTCAGTATGCTTTCTAGGTTCGTGTCGTAAATCACCATTAACTTTTACTGAATCGACAATACTGTTACTGTTGCCACCATTCGTTAACGGCCTTCTGGAAACTGGAGCAGTGGCAGAAGCTACTGTGGTAGAACTAGAACTTGACGGCGACGGCGAGGAAAATGTACATGGAACCAAAGGAGTAGTTGGAGAGAAACTGCTAGTGCTTAGAGGAAAAGCGCGAAGTGGTGGACATTCCATAACACTAGGTGGAGGTATATTTAAAGAATTTGGTGGTGGCATAACTATAGCTCTTGGAGGTGGGACAGTGAAAGAGCAAGGAGAAAATGGAATCGTTGCTGGTGATGAAGCGGAAGTTGCGGACATTACAGTATAAGGTGGTATTGCAGCCGGTACAAAATTGTTTAAATGTGGTACCCCCAACGATGGAAGCACATTCGGTGGTGGTGGTGGCAACATTTCAGAATGTGTGGTAGGTTGTGAAGATGGTCTGGTTTGCGGATTAGTATTTAACGATGATAGCTGGCTTCCAAGAACAGGGGGACCGGTCATTCTGCTTGCTGTTTGGTTACCATGCAGCTGACTGGAAATAATTGGTGTTTGAAGGGAATTAGTAGTGCCAGATACAGATGCAACATCTGTTATTGTCCCTGGTGCGGCCGTGGGTAGTGATGTAGAAAAATTTGACGACGAATCGTGCAACCACTGTGAAAGATTGCCATTTGATTGAGGCGTTTGCGTGTCTTGCATTCGTGCTAAGCCAGAAAGTGGTGGAGAATTAACGAGTTGAAATGATGATATCTGCGATACTTGAGGTTGGTTTGAAAGTCCAGAGTACGACACTGAGCTGGATGAAGCTTGTGACAATAGTGGAAGGGATGAATTACCAACAGTAGCAGTAGACTCGGCTGATGACAAGCAGCCAAGCACCGAAGGGAACGGTGGATGAGACGCAAGGCGTGGATCGGACACAACTGATGACGG